AATTACATACGAAATTTTGAGCAAAAATACGTGAATAAGGTTATGTTGTGATTACTTGTAATCACAATAAGAAACGATTACGAATGATTATGATTGATTTATCAAAATATATAATTGCATGCAATTATGATTACATGAAATCGTGATTGTAAGTAATTGCGAGTACATGTAATTAAAATATACGATTACAAGTAACTACGATTGCATACTTTATGCTTATTCAGTTTGTATGTATTAAGTATTCATGTTTGTATGTGCGAACATATTTTCTGTAAATACAATGAACGCACATATATAAATACAATTTATTAATGTACGAGTAATGCATGTAAGCTCGTTTGTATACGCACATATTTATATGTAGCATGCGTACAATCGCTCATACGTAGATATATTTTAAACTCACTTAATATTTGTGCGTTTGAATGTACATGTATGTAAGTACATGTACAGGCATGCCTTCGAATATGCGATATATGAATGAATGTACAGATTTACCTATATATTACAACTGCACCTATGCATGCATAAGCGTTATTTGTGCACACATTATAATTCTATAATATGCATGTAAACATGTATGTAATTTTGTATGTTCGTATGTAGAGACAACATATTTAAGTAGGCCGGGATAGACTGGTCGGTAGGGCACTGGGCCCATGTCCAAGAGTTCGTGGGTTCGATACCCGCCGGCTGAAGACTCCCCGTGTAGTAAATGGTAACTGATGCACGCTAAATCTGTCGAGTCTCAAAATCCTCCATGTCCGCATAACAAATCCCTCTGGGGGTACCAGGCCCGTAGCCAGGGGGGGGGGTTCGTCGGGACAAATCCCCCCCCGAAATTCTGGGATTCAACTTTTTAGTCTTTCTTTGAGCCTCTCAGTAAAAAGAAAAACAAAAACTGTCGAATCAAACCTTTTCCCAGTCACTAAAAGTGTGTTTTACATTACTTTACTTGTTTGTAGAGATATTTTTTCCGTGACTCTCCCACTGAGCAAAGCACTCCAACAAATTCATCTAGATTTGAATGGAGTTTTGATACATGTAAAATCAATAAACACAGTTTTAAACAAAAGAAAAAATGCCGAGTATGAATTTCAAAAGCTATATTCAGAACTCCTTAATACTTTCACAAGTTTGGATCTAGATGTAAAACTTCCTAGATTGGCATCCTATAAAAATCACCGTGGCAATATAAAAAATCAGAACATAGACCCCGAGCAGTACTTCCGTCAAAATATATACATTCCTTTTTCAGATTATTTCGCTGCCCAACTGATTGAAAGATTTTCGAAGCACAAGCACGAAGATACTCTTGCTTGCATCTCTCAATAAAGTGTTACCAACGTTGATATTAATTTATGCAATTTCCGAATCTATGCAGATTTCATTGACATCGAAAACCTCATGGGAGAAATGGAAGTATGGGCATCAAAGTGTAATCTGCGTGAACCCCTTAGTAGACCAGATACGGCACTTTCAGCAATGGAAGAACGTGACAGTTTCTTTTTCCCAAACATTTATTGCTTGTTATCAATATTGGCTACGTTGCCAATCACCACAGCAACTGCAGAAGTCACGGTGGCTAGCTTAGCCTGGGGTAGAGAGGTCCCTGGGTGAATCCAGACCCTTTATCCTCGTTCATGATAAATAAAGATGACATGACACAAAACTAGTTTCGCTTATTAATGGTGCTAGGTTAATAATAGATTGCAGAATTACATAGCGATTTATGTTGAATAACATAAATAATGGTTTAGGTTAAACATGAGAAAGGAAGTTGTTTAAACGTCGTTTAAACAAGCAACTAACAATTAATTGGAAAAGAAAAAATATTAAAAAATAAAAAACCTGCTAATTAAAGATAAAAGAAAAAGAATGAATTGCCCGTTAAAGGGCTGGGATTAGTTCCTAATTGGTGTCGCCACTTGACGGCCAAGAAGGAAGAAGCTAAGTCACTCCCTAAAGGGGTGTGTCTAAAAATAGCTGTGGCTCTGATGCATAGCCACCGAGAGTCAAGGCCTCTCAGTAGATTTGTGACGTCATCCTCTGAGGGGCTAGTGAAGCATAAGATAACGCGGTATTCAGATTTGTATTAAGAGAAAACTAAAGTAAATACTTCAAACTTTTGAGCCACGTAATATATTTTTGCTTTAGTTAATTTAATAGCACTTAAAAAAAATGTAAGTGGTGAATTTTTAGCTTTTTAAGATATGTTTAAAGTTATAATTCTATAAAATGAACATGTAGGACTTCTTGATGCTTTTCAATAGAAATGAATGAATAGAAATGAAATTTAATAAGAAATTTTATACTTTTAATTTTAAAATCTTGATTCCTCATAACTATTTTTAATATCAAAAGAATAAACCTTATTTAAGTGTATAATTTATTATTTTCTAATGTGTAATTATACATTAGATTTAATCATATTTGAAAATAAGAAATGATACATTTTAATCATGAAACGGATGCGAGACAAATAAAAATATGTTATATCATGGCAGAAAAGAGACAAATAAAGAAATAATAGTTTTATTGGCACATTTATAAAATTTTTTATTTTACATACACTCTTCCAGACTTATAAAATAAACATAAAAATGGGAATAAAATGAGAATAGTACATATAATCTGGAGCAAACTCAAAATTTATTTATCCATAAGATTGCAAAAATCTAAATTTAAATTTTATTTTATTAATTT